TAATTTTTATTTTTAATATGTACTTAAAATTACAAGTTACGAAACCCCAAAAAAAACTTTAGTTCCCACCGTCCTAGATTAGACAATCTACTTTGAAGGAAGGCTCCTTGATTTGCGGTCATGACTGCACTGTACTAGATAATGCAACAGTTTTACTTTCAATTAAATAAACTTTATTTATTTTCAATGTTATCAGTATATCAAAAATTGTACTTTATTGGCTGTTTTTTTGAACATGCTACTTTATTGGCTGTTTTGGTATTACTGACATCAAATTACATATAAAATGTATCTTCTTATTCGAGTAACGGTTGAAATTCAAACCTTTGTTAAAAAAATAATTATACTTTCTTGGTATTTGGACCTTCTGACACGATGACTTTAAATTTATAGTAAGATGCCACGTGAGATTTTTCTTTGGATTTCCATCCATCCATCCAACCGAACGGATGATGGATGGAAAGGATGATTTTGGTAATTTTCTTATACTACCTTTAGTTTTTCTAATTGTCTTAATCACTTAATTTTTTGTAAATTAATTTAACAATTTTATATAATAACTAATAATTAATAATTTGTTATTTTAATAAAAATACTTAATAAAAATTAGATATAATTTTTTTAATTATTATCTATTTCTTATATAAAATTATTTTGTCAAATTTTATGTAAAAATCAAAATAAAACAACTAAATTAAACTATAAAGGGTACTTTAGTACATAGAACAATTAATAGGGAGAAAAAATTTCAACGACTTATTAATCTGAATAAAAAAAAAATTGATTCTCTTGAAGCAAAATTTTGAATTTAAGTATTGTAAATAAAAATATAAACATTTAAAGAACTTTTCCATTATAAAATCTAACATAATTCGACTCTAAATCAATCGAAACTCAATGTGATTTTTCAAATTTTAAGAGATTATTACCAAAAAATAGAGAGAAATAACAGATTTTAGACAAAGTTGATATTGGGTTTAGAATAGGCCAACATTAAATATAGGTTCAAGGTTATAGCCACACATTAATCTATTAGAATCTCATAATTTATTTAAAGGTTTTTTTAATTTATGTCTTTAATGCACAAATTAAGAGAGGTTTTTTATTATAAATACATATAGAAAAATGTAAAATTTGATATTAATTTTACTATTGATGTCAA